AGCTCTTTATAAGTGTCCTTCTATGAGATCTGATCTATGAAAGCAGCTGAAACATGGAATAGGATTGACCCTTAAAATCTGAGACAGCTGAGGAAGTTAACCAGTAAGCAGAAATACCTGCTCCAGTTGCTGAAGTCTTACAGAAACTCATCTGCAGTGACTGGTTTAAAAGGTTGAACAAGAAAATGTGAAGTTAAAGGAAACATCCTTTGTCCCAAAGCCATTTTAAGTATCCTTATTATTTTGGTTACTTTATTTTTCAATCGTTATGAATTGATTGTAACTATTTTCACATTAATGAACAACCAAAACGGACAAACATTTAGCCCTCCCCACTACCCATTTATGTTGCTCTTATTTTGAAATATAACCGGAAGTTCTGTTTTAAGAGAGGTGGAAAGAGAATGGAGATGCCGCTAATGTCGAACTGAGACGCCGCCAATGTTGAACCTGAGACGCCACTAATGTTGAACCGGTTAACACCATAGACATAATATGCCTGTTGTTAACACAATCTGCCAATAACACCTTGTTTTTAGACATAATATGTCTGTGGTTAACACAAACAGCTCGTTTATTTTTCGTAAAGCCTTTTTTTCCCGTCCAATCAGATGTGGCACTCCGGACATGCCCATTTTTCTATAGGCCAATCAGATGTGGCCGGCCAGACACGCCCATTTTTCTATCGTCCAATCAGATGTGGCCCCCCAGATACGCCTTCCGAATTTGTCTGCAGAGATACTTACTTGGATCTCAAACCTACAGTATCAGTCCAGATTTTAGGTTTTGTCTGATTCATTTGGAATATGAAAAAGTATGCAAGTGATCACTTAAAATGACAAAACGTCTATCATATAATGTGATGGGCTTGTGCTGTGTATATGTTCAGTTCAACTAAAGTAATTTAAGCTGAACAAAAACTACATAAAAAAAAGCTTGTTCTTGACAAATGTTTTCTGCAATTAAAGTCATAAGTGTGACTGAAGAATAAATTAATACTTTTTACTTTAGAGACAAAAAAAATTGTATAACTATGGAGAATAGGTGTCCCAACTTACTGTAATTTCTGGACTATTGAGTGCACCTGAACATAAGCTTTACCCACTAAATAAAAAAAAATTAAAAACACATTTTGTGCATATAAAGGCCGTGCTTGTCTACAAGCCACAGGTGTCCACGTTGTAATATAAAATATTTACACAGATTTTTCTAAATTTTAAATTAAATATGTACAGTAAATGTTTTTGTCTGATCAGTGCCTGTAACATGGCAGATAAAAAAAAAATAAATAAATAAATAAATACAGTAGCTTACCAGGAAAAGTAATTTATCATTATGCTCTATGACGTGACTTTTCGTCTCATAAATCGGAGAAAACACGATGGTCCACCTCTAAAATCAATTTTGTTTTCATTGGCAATTGTTTTGGCTTTCGGTTGTATCTGCACGGAGGAAACCCCTCGGCCGTCTGCTCTTTGCATGTTCACCCAGTCTTTAAGAATGTTTTCGTGTTTGGGCCATTCTTTTTACCTCTAAAAGCTTTTGTTGTCTTTTTGCCTTGAGTCAGTTCTTCACACTGCCATCTCCAACGTCTTACCATTGAGTCACTGATGCCAAACTCACGTGAAGCAGCTCTATTTCCTTCTTTGACAACCATATAGAGATCACCTTTAACTTGAAAACTGCAGCATATGCATTTATTTGTGTGTTTTCCATGATGAGGGTGTGCATGAAGCACAAAATAACTGATGTGAAGAAATTAGTGTGCGTGCGTTTGGTTTACGGTAATTCCAAGTTTTATTGGTCCACTGTGACCTATTTGATAATTTCATTGATCTGATTTTTTCTAACCTTTACTTATTCAGGTAGTCTAATCGAGCCACGAGGACCCACCCCCCAAGAAAGCTGTGTATTGGGTAGCTATGCGAGTGCCCAGGTGTGACGAGGCTAAATGTTTTGGCAGTATGGAGTTCGTTAGCCCGTCAAAACAAAAAATGTCCATAGATTAGCCACAGCTTTGTATAAGCCACGAGGTTCAAATCCTGTGAAAAAAGTAGCGGCTTATATTCCAGAAATTACGGTAATAGTTTTATTAATTATAACATGCATTTCTACTTTAAAATATTTGAAAACAATTGTTCTTTTGAAAGAAAAAAACCAAACAAAAACAAACAGCAGCATCCAGGGCCGCACGTTCTCCTCTGACAGAAAACATGTTCACATCTAAAAACACAGATAAAAAATGTGGATGTGTGTAAACATGGTATAAATGTGGGTGGAGGTGGCCTTTAATGTAACACAATAACGATAGTCACAACCTATAATACAGTTTTGTAAGCATTGCACACAGAAATAAGGTGTCATTTTCAGAAAATAGCCATGCAAAACAGCTATATAAATCACTTTTTATATGGTTGCAAATATTCACGTTTTAGTGAGACTACAATTGGAAATTTCTGTTTTCTTGCCAAACTTAGTCCTGTTTGAGTCAGAAACTAGTCTACAAGAATTGCAGCCCGGTGAGATATAATCTTAAAGGATGAGTGGCAAAATTAACTTGGCAAACACACAGCAAATGACTATGTGGTCATCTGTTCCATAACCATCTCAAATGAAGAGTAAAATATTGTTTCATGTAATAAACACTGACCAACTCAAAAGTTAGCACTCGTTCAATTATTTGCATTTAAAAGAAAATACAAAGGGCAAAGTTGTACAGTGCATTTAAACCACTTTTATGAAAGGTCATTGAGATGCTACATTGTCATTTGTTTTATAGCATTAAAAATATAAATCCATTTGAGCAGTTTCACCACTATAAGTTAGAAAACAAATATTAAGAGAATGGTTGAGTAGAAAATAGAAAGGAGCAAATTTATATATATAAAAAAAACATGATTTTATAGATTACAGTCAAAAGGGAATCATATTAGTCTGACATTTCCTATTTTAAGTTTGTGTGACTTTTGTTGAATGTATGCATTTCCCTTGAGCCCTTCAAACAAAGCAGTGGTTGTCAGACTTGTCAGATTATTATAAGATTTTGCTGTTCAAGAAAAAAAAGGACAGAAAAATGAACAATCAAGTGACAAGTACATGAAGATCAGCAGAGAGTGGAGATACGATGCACAAAAAAGTGTGTGTGTATATATATATATATACTGTACTGTATATAAAAGACAACATAAAAGGACCTTAAGGACAGCATGAGACACATGTTGACCAAGTGAAAAATCCAGTTTTAGACAAGGAACAGAGAAACTGAAAAAAAGCAAAAATTGTGAGTCGGTGCAGGAATAAAAAAAATTGGAATAAAAGAGCAAAGAAAACAGAGTGACAGAGAAATGAGAGTGTATGTGTGTTTGAGGATGTGATGGAGTGAAGGCAAGATTAGAGAAGTGATATCAGAATGTCCATCAGTGTCACAGAGATTGTGTCCTCTGTAAGTCATGTCATCCATCAGCCTGGAAAGCCTGACTGTGTGTAAATCGCATGTTTGCCCATTCTACAGCGTAACACTTAAATCTATTTCTTGACTACATGGTCTCAAATAGACCTTGCTGGAATCATTAGTGCAGATAATTTAAATGCAAATCTAGCAGTAAAATACTTACAGAAATACCAGAATTCATCTCTTTTTACAGTTAATAAACTATTATCTTGTGTATTGACCTAAACATGATGCAGTACAATGACTGTGGGTTTAATGTTTATTTTTCCCAGTATTCTTTATCCTGTCTTCACTTTTAACCTGCCCATCTTCACTAAAACACAGAAAATCTAAGATAATTACTGATTACTCAAAAAAAGCATTGTTGTATTAAGTTAGATTTCAATTTTGCTTAGGGGCCGAGATGGTGTAGAGGTAGGGCAGCTGACTTGGGACCAGAAAATCGCAGGTTAAATTCCTCACCATGCCCACATGTCATGGTGTCCTTGAGCCCAGTCCCTAACTACTCCCTGGGCTGCCCACTGCTCCACCTGGGTGCATCTCACGTGTAATGGGTTAAATGCAGAGAAACAATTTTATCATTGTATGAGAACAGACAATGATGACAACACATAGCACTTTTGTTGTTACCACACCTATAGTAACATAGATTTATTCACAAACTATTTTTTCCTTCCTTTGTTTAAAGCCTACGCTGCATTATATATATATATATATATATATATATATATATATATATATATATATAAAAATTAATTAGGTATGATCATTTTGCTTTGTTTTGATCCAACCCTTTCCTTGGGAGCGATGAACCACTTAACATAAGCTTTACTGCATTTAAACAAGAGCTGCCATCAATCCACCAACCCCCTGTACTTATTGTGTCAATATGAATAAAAGTGTGGGGGTGATGCCTGACAGGAAACAGTGTTTTATGCTGATAAATGACATTTATCCACTGTTATTGGTTAACTGACCGCATTAACAGTTCACAGATGTGCAAGGAAGTATATTTAATGGAAAAAATGTCAATTTATCCACCAACAAAAGCTTGAAGTGGCTGCAATAATGCCACAAATACTACAGTAAACAAAAATCTCTTCAGCTTATTTTATATCCATTAGAGTTCACAGTTCCAGCCACTTGCGTTTTTCCTTGTCTAATTGCAGGGAGCTGGTGCCAATCTCCAGCAGTGTGAGTGTAGGGTTTTGGGGTTTTGTCCTGTTTTTGCTTGTTTCCTCATGTTCCCAGTCAGCTCTCCTCCTTGTGTTTAGCCCTCGTCTCACCTGTGTCTAATGTTAATCACCGCAGGTGTCTGTCGTTGTCCCAATCAGTGTTGTGTATATATTCAGTTCCCTTGTGTCTTGTGTTTGTCTCCGGATTATCCTTCAATAGTGTTGTGTTTCTGCCTTCCATCCTGTGTCCTGTGGTTATTAGTAAGTAAGCTGCCCCGTCAGCCTTTGCTTTGTTTTTGTATAAATAAATATTTTGGTTTTCTACGAGCCTCCTGTCATCCTCCTGCAATTGGGTTCAACAATCCTGATGGCAGACCCCAACGGTGAGAGGAGGGTGACACCCGGGACGGGTCACAAGTCCATCACAGGGACACAGAGACCATCAGTCAAACTCTCACCAAGGCACAATTTAGACTTATTAATCAATCAGTGAACTTGGAATGTGTGTTTTTGGTCTGTGGGAGGAAACCGGAGTACCCAGAGAAAACTTGTTAAAAGTGTAAGTGCTCAGAGAATATGTCGAGTTTGATCCACAACTACTCCAACACCAAATGTAGGTCAAGGGTGTGTAAATTGTCTGCACTTAGCCATTTTTGTGTTGACTAATGCCAGTTATCAGTGACAGCCATCTAGGGCTTACTTTAAAAAGTAATGTGTTGTAGATTTACAGCCATTCAGCACTTTGAGAGTTTTACTAAAATCTGTTCATTGGTTCACAACATATTTTGCTAACAGATAGACCAGATTGGCTAATTTTAAACAAATGTATGTGTTGAACTCAAAGTATCCAATAGAGAAAATGATCAGCAAATTACCACATTTTAGCTCAATGTCTGTAAAACTGGCTAACGTAAACATTTTTGCATTGGCTAAAACTAAAGCTGTGAATTGAATTGGATTGACTCTAAAAGCTAACTAGAGAATTTGCATTTCCTGCAAAAATGCAGTGAATGCTTCTTGCTGAAGAACCTGCTGAAATTAGCTAAAAACTTGCAGAAATGTAGCTGAAAAGGAAGAACAAGCCTAAGTTTGCAGAATAAAAGAGGTGGAAATTATCTTTAAAAAAGCATAATTTTTCAAAAACAGCTGAATAATAGCTAAAGAAATTTAGAAAGAAACTTAAATTTTCAAAAGGAAATGAAGATGGCTTAACTGTGCCCACTAAGGCTGAAAGGCAGACATTAGTGCAATACAGTTGAAATTATCTGCAAAAATGCTGAAATTTGTCAAAAACAGCTATATAGTAGCTAAAACAAGCAGAAAGAAGCTTAACCTCCTAGGACCTGGCATCCACATGTGGACAGCCTGGCATCCACATATGCAAGAGTCTGGGTCTTAGGAAGTTAAATTACTAGAAGGAAGTGGGGAGAGCAGAAAAGTGCCTACTAAGGATGAAAGAAGCAGAAATAAATTCACATAATCTGTAAAAAAATAAAGGCAGGATTTTCACCCAAACAGCTGAATAGTAGCTAAAGAAATGTAGAAAGATGCATAAATTTAAGTGGAGTGAGCACAATTGTGGCCATTAAGGGTGAAATAGGCAGAAATTTGTACAATAAAGTTGAAATTATCTGAGAAAAGCTGAAATTTGCCAAAAAAAAAAAAACAACAACTGAATAGTAGCTAAAACAAAGACAAATAAGCTTAAATTACCATAAGGATGTGGGTAAAGCATGATTTTATCGAATTAGGATGAAAGTAGTTTAAATGATTGCAAAAAATGTGGAATTACCTAAAAAAGCTGAAATTAGCATAAATACAGCTAAATAGTAGCTGAAATAGCAGAAACAGCTGAAGTTAGCCAAAATAGGCTGACTGTATCATATCAAGATGAAATTAGGAGAAATAAGTTACAAGAAGCACAAGAATGTTGGACTTAGCTGAATAAGGTTGAAAGGAATGAAAAACAGTTGAAAAAACAGCTGAAATTAGCTGAAAGTAGCTGAATTTTTATTTTTTGCACAAGGAAGCTGAAAGAGGCTTAACCGGATCAAAATGTGAAAGTAGTAGTAAAAGTTTGTAAACAGATCAAAAGTTATGAAGGTTGTAAAATGGGCACAATTCATTTTCAGTGAGGGCTAAAATGGCAGAAAAGGCTATTCCCTCTGGCCGTCAGTGGCAGACGATTGAAAAAAAAACAAAACAAAAAAAAAGCAACTTATTGAACGAAAGATAAAATGTAATGAATGCTCAAAGCTTGAAGCTTTAATAAATGAACATCACATTATGCCTTTATGTTCTTAACACCGAACATACAAACAGTTGTCACGACCATTCACTGTGAACCTCTGTCAACAGATGACATTGCCTTTGACAGATGGAGTAGAGGAGGCTGCCAGTGCAGCAGAGTGATTAATCCATTGTCCTCCCTTCCCGGTGATTTCTCTCTATGAAAATACCTTTTGGCAGGCAAGTTTTGACAGCCGGCTGAGCACAAGGAGAGACTATCAAGGGTTCTTTGAGGTTGTTTGGTGAATTGTGTTTTAATTTGTATAAGAGCTTTTCAGGAAAATTCACTGATTAGCAGGCTGAATCGCAGACAATGTTTTAATTAAAAGACAAGATGCAAGCAAGAGCTTCAGCAGCTCGCTCCAAACCAAACATTGCTATTTTTAGCGCGCAGAAACACCGAACGCAATTCAAACGAGTCGGAAACCTCTCATTAGCTCTATTCTTATCTCTGCCACTTTATGTGGCTGCTTCGTGACAAAGGTATACTGCTTTACACCTCGGCCTCGATTTCTTCATCAGAAGATTTATTTCGTAGGATTTGGAATGATTTTAAGTGATAGAGGGTCTCTGGTTTTTAGTAACCTTCAAGCATTTTGTAGATCCACGGGGAGCTCGCAGGCTTGGGACTGTTCTTGTTTCCATGTAACTTTTCATAAATGTCGGTCAGAATAAATGTAAAGGAACAGACAAAAAGCAGATGAGGTTTTTGTTTGACAGAAGTGGACAAACCGATTTGTCCCAAATGGCTTAGATAGTAATTGATCACAGAATAAAAGTGTTACATAAACTGAATTTTATTTTTTCTCTATCATATTCCTGTTCTCCGCTTGAACTTGTTTAGGATTTTCATTTTCTGCCATGAAAGAGAGCATCCATCATCTGCTCTTTTGTTGTTGTTTGTTTGCTGGTATTTGGTCAGCTGTGGCAGAGCTTCACGAGGCTCGGCACTGTGCTAGAAGTCCCCGATTGTAACCGTTTCCTAGTTCCGCTTAGATGAATAATCTGGTGGGAACTCACACTGCAGGCATCAAATTACGTTTTCAACCCTACATTTTATCCTCCCTGGAAAATGTTTTCATTTTGCGCTCTGTACGCATGCATGTGTTCCCGGAGCCCAGATGTGACATTGGTTCTAGAGTTGCTTTTGGTTCACACATTTAAAATGAATGTGTTTAATAAAAATGATGCGTGGGAAATTTAGTAGCTGTTCACCAACAGTGAAGCGTTTCCAAAAGTATGGTTTTATTTGCCTATGCATGAAAGACACTAAACTGCCTGATGATGACAAAGATGTTACTCATTTGCTGAAGAAGAGGAGGGGGAGGAAGCAGACATGGTGACTCTGTCACTGGTGGAGACGTTTCAGTTTGTTGCCGTCTCCGTTTCGGGTAATAAAGCAATTAATCCAGACGTCCTCATTTTGCCAAATGGAGAAGATGTATTTGACTGGCCTCCCTCATATATCTTCTCATCTCTGCCTTTCTCCAGCACCATGTTCCCTCCATTTTCATCAGTCAGAGTTCATTAAAGGGCCGTTCATTTAGGAGGCCACTCTACAACAATAGGTGAATAATGCATCATTTCAGCCTAGCGGGAGCAGGTGGTGGTGAATTAGTGGCACTGATTGAGAAACAGTTTTTCATTGATTACCTCTAAGCTGATGGAGAGGCATTTTATAAAACCTCGCTCCCTGCTTTTTATTGAGCATGTGAAAAATATTGAAAAAAAAAATTGGAGATGAAGAGAGTGGACCAACGGGGCAGTAATAAAGATAAATTAAAGTGGTGTTCATTTATCCGCCGTGTTCAGATTGAATGGCTGTTGCCTTGGATACCATGAATTTAAAGATAGAGAGAGGGGGGGAGGCAGAGATAGAAAAATGGCCTGAAACTGAGAGAGAGCCAAAGAGAAACAGCAGGATACTTCGTTTAGCTTTGTGCGTCTTATGGAGTCCACCCTGTCATCACTGAGAAGACTACAGTAATTAGGAGATTAGGATTGTGGTGCATCTCACAAGGGCAGCTGGACTGATGGAGTGGGGCAGAGAAAGGCATGTGAAATAGATTCTTCAAAATACAGGAATGCATGAAAACTTTGTAATGGTGAAGGAGAAGTTATTCAACTTTTGTTCTTGTTTTTGTGTGTGTGGTCTTGTTACGAGGAGCTGGATCTCACACAAGACATTTTCCAAGCACAGTTGCAAACAAATTTACAACAACTGCCTGTTAAAAGTCAACATTTACGCTGCTTTTATTTGTCTTGTGGATAAATTTGCCCACCAAATGCTTGTATATACACAGAGGAATGCAATAAGTGTAGCTTTTTCCAATCACTAAACCATTACTGATTCAAAAAAGGAATTAAAAAAACAAAAACCTAGTAGATGAGGTTTACTTGGAAATGCAATTATACCAGTATATATACATTCTGAATGAAGCTAGAGGCCATTAGCAATTTACTTATAGGTTTCCTTTTATAAATGTCTTAGTTCCACAAAATCTAGAGCACAAGCTGCACAAAGTACATGCAAGTTGAGCAGGTACTGGGACCATTATTGCAATACCAAACAGATTTTTGCATGAAAATACTAGAAACATATCAAAATTGTGAACTCACATCCAATTTAATTATCCAAAATGGCACACTCATTTATTTATCCCACAAAGTAAGCAATTCAAAATTATCAGCAGTTTAGTAAACGTCTCATTTTTAGCTCACAGTGTGCTGCACATGGCAGTAATTGTCTGTATAAATCACAAAAATACAACAAAAAAAAAAAAAATCAAAATTAGTTTGAGAATATCAACCATTTTCTAGATTAACAACAAAGCCGTGTATGCTTTCTTCAAAACAGAGTAGATAAAGACTTTTTTATTTTTTGCCACATATACATTATCAATAATAAAAGTGTGGAAATGTTACTTTACCTAAAATCAGAGCAGATTTGGTACAAAGTAACACACAAGTTAAATCCTATAAAGGAGGAAATAAAAATGTCTCTACTCTGTTCACGCATGGCTGTCTTCTCTCTCTGAGCACCTGTTTGCATTTGTCAATCGCTCGTCATATTCACCTCAGATTTCCTACCCTCATTTGGCGCCAGCTGAGCTTTGTGTTTGCAGCTAAAACAAAAAAAAAAGTCTGTAATTTCTGTGTTTAGTAGCAACTGTGTTCAGTACTTTAGGAAATTGGCATGCTTGCAAACATGTCAGGAATGTGAGATTTGCTATCCATGCAATAACTTAACAGACTAGTGAGAGTCATTACTGCTCCCTGGAGCTGTTTGGGAACTGAAAACAGCTGTCTCTTTTTGGTGAGCAGAGCCAAATGATCTTTATCCCAGAAAAGAACCATCATTTCCATCACTAACAGAGACAAGAGTCAGACGATGAGCTGTTTAAGGACTCAAACACAGGCGATTAGGTGCAAGATGGAGCTGATAATAAAAATTAAGAAACCTATTGGCAATAAACGGACAAACTCTGCACTTCTATGTCACGTGTTGAACACGAAGCAACAATCAATTAATAAATAGAAACCATGGATATACACATCCAGAGAGTTATCTTAAAATAAGAATATTTGTGTTGATTTACAATAGGACCATCTTTAAGAGCCAAAAAAAGAAAGACAAGAACAAAATGAAAACCTAACAAAAAAAAAAAAAACAAGAAGCTGTAGCGCTCTTAAAAAGTCTATTTCAAAATCGAGCACAAGGAGCAGAATAGTCAGAAAAGTCCAACTAAAGTAGAAAACTAATAAAAGTCAAGCCTTACTAAAGATATAAATAGCCAAATTGTAGCAAAAAGTAACTAAACCCTAGCGGTTAAAAATTAAAAGTGGCAAAGCACAAGCTAAAAACAGCAAAATGCTAGCTAAATGCTAATAATAACGTAAGATTAGCAGATTAACTGGCAGAAGTAGAATCAGCAGTAATCAGCTGGAAGTATGCTGAAACTGAAGATTTTACAAAGTTTCGGAAGTATTTGAAGAGCTCCTATGGAGTCGTTTGTGAATAAAGTTTAATATTTTACAAAGTTTGAAAGTTACTTTATGGGAACTTTTTCTTCACATGTGAAGGTCCTGTGTTAATCTCCAGTTTGGACCTGGTGGTCTTGTGTGGAGTTTGCATGTTCTCCTCATGTCTGTGTGGGTTTTCTCAGTGCGTACTCCTTTTTCCTCCCACAGTCCAAAAACATGCAAGTTAGGCTTCCTTTAGGCAAGGCCTCCCATGCAAAAGAGATCAGATGATCTCAATGGCATCTGTCTGATTCAATAAAGATACATTTAAAAAAATGCACCCATCTCCTCAATGGGCGGGTTTCAATGTATGACTAGTTAAAATAAATTCCAACAAACAGGAAAAATACAAAAACTGTTTGTGTGAATGCTGAATCGGCATTGGTTTTCACCTATGTCATTAGCATTAGACATAGGTTTCAATCCAGAATGAAATTTGGTCTGTGTATATGGCTCAAACCAGTGAACACTGACAGATTAGTGAACGTAAAATGAAGATGTTTGTGTGCATATGTGTGTGTGGACTGGATTTAATCTATAACTGTAAAAGTAAATGCCTTTACATTAAATAATTTACTTGAGCTAAAAGTAATTACCAAATTACAAATTATATTTACTTTTTTACTGTTCCACAATACAAGTATGGCAAGCACTAGAATGTTTAATATCTGGTATCAGGTAGCACTATAATTGTCTTAAATATCAAAATTGATCAATTTCATCGAAAATAATTTGTTGTTTTATTACTGCACCACTATAAGTTACTTGCCTCTCCTTTTTTATTTTTCATTTGTATGCATATGTATGTGCATTAAAACAAACTACAAATCTCACGATGTGAGGGTTTTATGAGCCAGAAACTAGGAAACACCATATGGAGCTCCATCAGTGAGCTGTGGAAGAGTAAAATGTTGGCTGCCAGAACAAAACCTACGTCAAGTGTATGTAAACTCACAGAAACAACTTTAAAACTTGTGCACTACTTACGCTCACATTAAGACACACTAAGGAGTGCCGTGGAATAACACTTTAATGACATTTAGCTTGAGATCAACACGAGACGCTCTCAGCTGTTAAGGCTAATGACCCAACAAACTAACAAATTCATACACAAGATATAAGGCCATAACACAAAAATAGCAAGGCATTAATACATTAAAATGACTAATACACTCTAAACAATGGCTGCAGTTAGCCACATTGGCCTTTTTTCATAAATTACAAAGTAGTGTTTTTTGAAGAATATCTTTCCTAAATTCTGTTTGCCATTTGCATGGCACTTGATGGACACCATCATCAAGGCATCCCTTTACTGACAGTTACTGTTGCGCTCTGTCCAGCTTTTCACACTGCCCCTACCTTTATGTATAAATGTATGTGTACAGGAGAGAAAGAGGTGAGATTGTGCTGTCTCTGTGTGTTTGGTTGCTGTGTCCTACTTCCTCCACATCCCCGTCATACATAGTCCCTAATGAGGCCCCTGGGAAACTGTCCAGAGCTGTGCATCTCCCAAACAGCTCCAGTTCCAGCTCCGTTTCAAAGCAGTTGCCAGTAAGCCTTTGAACCACTGAGCTTGGTAACCAGCAGTTCAGTTTTGTCACTAACCTTACAGTCGCTAAGACCACCAGATGTGGTCCATACACATGGATAATAATTAAAATTTCGCCTCACATCATTTATTCAGAAACATTTGCACAAACTGACAAACAATCTCTGACAAAACTAACACATACCATCTGCGTGAGAGTCCTTGTTTGATGTTTATGGTGTTTATGTCTTTTTCTCTGCCCAGTTTATCTGTCTGAAGAAGATCCAGTTGTTGACTACCGGTAATACAAAGTGGCCTTCAGTTGGAACAAAATGCTTGGAATGAACAACCTGATAGAAATACTAAAAAAATAAAATAATAAAAACAGCTGAGAGTGCACAAATCTGCTCAAATTTAGACCAAGTTAGAGTAAAGAAAGTCACTCACCCTGAGGGGAGATCACACTCCTGTTGGTTCACCAACAATGCTCCATCTTGCATATCATGCTCTGCACTGTTTTCTTTAAATCACCCCTGCTGAGAATACTCCAGATTAGAGCTGTCATTTCTAACCTGAACCTGAAGCCTGGCCCTGCCTGACTTGGATTAGGGCCAGGCCTGTCCTTAATAATGTGCTTAATGTGCGGGCCAGGTAGGTGTCAGGCTTTTGATTGTGTCAGTGGACGCGCGCGACTGACGATCCAATTATATGGCCACATGGCTTGCCATACCACACCAGCCTCACGCGGCCATTTGACTGCGCGTTGACTGAACTTGAGTAAAGAGTTCAGTTAAGCTCCAGATGGACTACTGCCAGCGATCCATCAGCCCAAATGGACGTTCATTCAGCCGCTGCACTCAGCGGACATGCGCGGCCGACGACCCAAACAGATGAAATCACAAGACAGAGCAGGGTACAATTAGAGTTGTATTCGGGCCCAAAACATCTGATCCAATCTGGCCCCAGCCTGCAGTCATAATTTCCAAACCCCATCCGACACGACAAATTAACAGTAATTACAGGTCCGAACCCGGAAAAAAAACTGACATTTTTAATTAGTTATTAATGGTTGGGGACGCGCGGCTAAATAAAAGTGCCAGAAGATTTGGAGCTGAAGGTGTTTGTCCTTTCATGGCCACAAAAAAGCATTTAAACCCCGTTTCTGCCTGCATTCTTCTGAATTACAGACACACGGACACCTGTGACACATGCGTCTGCTTTAGGATCTCACCTGTTTGGGTCATCGGCCATGCACGTCCTCTGAGTGCAGCGGCTGAATGAATGTCCATTTGGGTGATTGATTACTGCCTGGCAGTACAGTCCCATCTGAAGCTTAACTGAACTTTTTACCTCTTTCAAGGCCATTCAACTCACGATGAAATGGCTGCATGCAGCTGGTGGATGTATGGCAGGACATGTTATCATATAATTGGATCGCGGCTGATCCTGACCTAATTAAAAGCCCGAGACCGGTCCGGTCTGCCCATTAATCACATAACAGCCCGGCCCCAATCCGGGTCGGTCCGGGCCGGGTTTTGGGTTAAAAATGTCAACTCTAGATCCAATGCAGGCAGAAGCAGGGGAAGCATTTAATGCACTTTGATGGCCATGAAAGGACAAACACCCCCTCAGCTCGATCTTCTGCACCCTTTCCTCCGCTGCGCGCATTCGCTGACCGTTAATAACTATATAAGCAGTCAAAGTTTAATTAAAAATGTCAGGGGTTTTTTTCGGGTTGGGACCCATAATTACTGTTAATTCGTGGGATTGGGTGGGGTTAGAAAATGATGCCTACGGGCTAGGGTCAGGTTGAATTTTTTGGACACATGCAACTCTACTCCAGGTGGAATGGGAGAATCATGATGAGCCATTTACCAGCAATGCCAGAGTGAGGCGCTTAACTTAGACTGAATCAAAGCCTGGTGTAAAAGGAGAAAAGATACTCAGCATTTTGTTTTCAGGGAGTTGTGAGTGATGTTAAGACTCAAGTATGCTCTTATGTGACCACTTGCGTTGATAGACAGCACCAAAGAGAAACGTTCATAACATTAAAAATTGTTCTCTAGTAAGGACTTGCGTAAAGTCTAATAGAGAATTACTTTTGTTAGCTTCAGACCAAATCTCCCTTTACAGCCCAGAATCTGCTTACTCTTTCACTTTGTCATTCCTTTAAAAGAAAGTCTGATTCTGCTAAGGATTCTGTTAAAAAAAAGGCTTTCTTCAAGGTTGCCCTTTGCCACATAATGGTAGGGGACCAAATCAAGATGAAAAATGGAAGAAATGTATTTCCTCATTTAGCTACACAACAAAAATAATACATTAGAATTGTATAATTATTGATACACAGAAAATAAACACCATTAAATTTAATTATTCTAATAGACTGAATTGTACATAACTGAATTTGGAACTGACCCTTTGCATGTACAAGACTTGTATTGATTTAAATGGAAGTGGAACTGGTTGGGAATTTGTTTATTGCTCGTTTTTATTTCTGTATTGGCAACTTAAGATGACTTCTGTTGCGAAACAGCACTAAATAATTGAACAGCGTAGGACTGGGACTGTCATCCGCTTCAAAAGTGTAAAGATTCAGGAAAAAGACAGAGCATGAACTAATGTCAGATAAAAGAGACTAAAAAGAGTAAGTACACTTTGACTAAATGTGTGATGTGAAATAGATTGCAACATGTATAAATCAGTCTGAAATGTTTCAGAACCAATAACCAGTTCTGTAGGCCTCTGAATTTCTCTATATTTTATCACTCTGGCCATCCATTTTTGACCCGAGCGCTGATTCTATAATCCATAGTTTATATTTGTTAAAACTCTCGTCTTCTCTTTAGATTGTCTGAGAAATGGCATGAGTGTTTGTGCAACGACTGGATTGATAGTTGCTGTGCCTATAAAACTGTGTCAGCAGTGATTGTTCCTGACAGTTCACCTCTCCACACATTCACCTCATTTTTTTACGCTCAAACAGCAAAACAGACAAGATGTTTGCTGGCCAAACACTTCAGATATCTGCCTGCTCGCTCCTCAGGGAAAATCCGTGTCAATATTGTGAATTATTAAATATAAATGGTCATGGTGAACTGAAGCTGACTCCTCAACAAAACAGAATTGGTCGAGAAATATTTGGACAAAATATGTTTGATGCCATGAGAATCACTGTACAATTCAGAATTTTTTATTATACGTATTTTGGTTGTTGACACATTATTTGCAAAAAGTTAAAAAAACAATATTAAAAGACTAAAACAACAACAACCAACAAAGAAGTGATAGAAAATATAAAAGCAATTTTTGTCGAACCATCATACAATTTTTAGGAGTCAGGATTTTCTGTTTCATTTGAGCATAAAAGATGTATGTCTCAATTTACTCTGTCTTATTTTCCTTGATGCTGAGAAACAACCAGTGTCTTGGGATATTCAAGCTCCTTGTGAGAATTAGAACAAACAACAACAGCTGCAGTTTGTGGCACACTTTTAGAAGACAGCAACAAAAAAACATTTGATTCACCGAGAACAATTTTGAACCTTTTCATATTTTTGTAAGTTTTGTAGTCACTCCTAACATGGAACAGTCACTTTGCTGTTTTTTTTTTCTCCATACATTCTAGATTGGCTAAATATTGTTTTTTTTATTTCAATTATCCACATATGTTTAAAGTAAACAGAGTATATTGAGCTGAATGTATGTAAATTTAAAATGCAATTAAGATAATGTCTAGTGTGCATTATTTGACATGTGCAATTTTACTGATTGATTAAGATCTTAATCAATATATATATATTGTATACTGTATATATATATCCATCCATCCATCCATTATCTTTTACCCGCTTCTTCCATTTTGGGTCACAGGGTTCGCCGGTGCCCATGTCCAGCAATCACTGTGCGAGGGGCGGGGTACATCTTGGACAAGTCGCAAGTCCATCACAGGGACACATAGAGACAAACACTCACACCTAGGGACAATTTAGTTACCAATCAGCCCTAACATGCATGTTTTTGGTCTGTGGGAGGAAACCAGAGTACCCGGAGAAAACCCACGCATGCACGGCGAGAACATGCAAACTCCACCCAGAAAGGCCCCTGGACCAGGATTTGAACAGAGGAGCTGCTCGCTGAGAGGCAGCAGCTCTACCAGCTGCGCCACCATGCAGCCCATATGTATATATGTATATGTAAAATGATTGATTAGATCTTTGTTGCCATTAATCTTTCTACATTTGAACAACAGCAGAACAGTGAAGCCGAGTCTATCGATTCTTTGAACAACCGCTGCTGCCACAATCAAAGCCCCATAAGGGCGATTCTATAATCTGATTTTTAGGGCTGCTTAGCCCCCAGTGTTGACAATGGTTCTTGACTTGAACAATGTAGTGGCCATTGGCGTCAGAAGGAATCATAATGTGGGAGGGAGACACTGGTGGGTGGGCCTAGGAGTCCTCCCCCAAAAAGTTTTGATTAAAGTAGATGTCATTTCCTGCATTCTGGTGTATTTTCTCCACTCTACTCGCGATTGCTCTCGACAATGGCAAACACTTTTTCATTTCGCTCCTGCTTCCCTCCTGCTTCCCTCCTGCTTCTGTTCTTTGTCCTGCGATCCTTATCGAAGCCTCTCTTTGCATATCTTCCGAATTGTAAACTATGGATCTGGTCATCTGGTCTCTCAACACAATTGATCAAATTTTCTCGACGATAAGACAGAGCAAAGGACAGCCCTCTTGCCCGGATGGGACACTTACAGATGGATACAAGATGGATTCCTGGGGACAGTGGAAGATCATGTGTCTGTCCATATTGTTAGTTGAGGCTGTAGAAGATGCATACATAATTGGATTTATGATAACAGGATTTCTGTCATGAACCAGAGGCCGGATCGCAAACAACAACAACAACCACTGAGAGGGTTAAAAGATTTATTGTGAAATAAAGTAAAACTCTGGAGTAGGTCCGGTTCTGGGCTGGTTCCGATCTTCTGA